TTTTATTTTTATTATTTTATTACTTCCCTTCTACGTGACTTTACCGAAAGAAACAAGAAGATGAATCCCTGCAGTCACGAAAGCTTTAAATCGAAATCCCCCCCACCTCGTCACACATCGTCACAAATGTCTGACCCCCCCCCCAGGTGCGTGACGTCATTTATGGACGGCCCCTAAGGGGTTGACAGGTATGCCACATTGCTCCGTGGGGGGTCATGGTGGCTGTTTGACCATACTTCATAACGCTGGTCGATGCGGCTTGGTGAAGGTGTGAAGCATAAAGGTGGTACAGTACAACAGTAGGTTCTGCTCCCCTGCCCATAATGTAGTCCCCAGGCTATCACACAGTGGCGGCTCCTGCAAAATCTCTCAGGGGGGGCAAATGTCTGGATGATTGATAAGGATAAGGTTCACCCATGCAATGGATAAATTAACAGCTTAAGCATGTAAAGGCAACTTCACTTCTTTAATATTAATGAAAAATAAAGTGACTCTTACAATACATCTTGTTTGTTTCTATACTCACTATTAAAACAAACCACTCAAGTTTCTTTTATTAAAGATTCCACTAGGTGGCGACAAATTATATTGTTGGATGAAACGTGCTTACGTATGATGACGTAAGCACGTATGATGACGTAAGCACGTTAGGGCGAGCCCTCCCGGAAGCCATAGAGAATGCATTGCAGCGCCCCCGTTCGAAAAAAAACATCTTTGAATGTAAGTCTATGGGACCACTCGGGGCGATTCTCAGCTGGAGGGAAATCGCCCAAAAAGAGGCGGTACTCCACAGAACGTGACATGACGCTGATTGGACTATATCCAGAGGCACAGTGACAGCTAGCGTGACTCTGTGGTTGAATGACATTGGTGGTGCGTCGCCCAATCGCCATAATGAAGAAACCGCCCCTGCTATCACACCTATAGTAATAGTAATATTAGTGCTATCACACCTGTTGTGCATGGTGGCCACCCATTCAAGCACAATTCAGGCTAGAACTTTGCTTAGCTTCCAAGAACTGAAGAAATCGGACGTATTCAAAGTGATTTGTATGATTATATATTTACGAAAAGGGGAAACGCATTCATAATGACAGTAGTTGTTTGATCGTCATTTAAATGCAGCCAATTAAATTAAAAGGTATTTTAACGCTCTGATAAAGTGGAAAATTCCCATGGTGAATGCAGACCATGAAGTAACAACATGATAACACGAGGTATGCTATGCTATGTACTGAAATAGTATATTACTGGAAATTACCGCATTGATTACACGAAGCATCGACAATACTTTGTATATTTTAATTAATTCATGTCATACGATTAACACATGGATGGCACAATCCTGAGTATGAGGCTGAAATTTACAATAAAATGTGTAATGATATTTAATTCTGGACACTTCTAAGCGAAAGTAATTTGTGTAAATGTTGAAGTAAAAAATAATACGTGGATGGGGCTATTTTGCTGACCGCAGAGGGCAGAGTAGCAAATCACGATGGTTGTCGTGTACTTCATATATGATCTGCTTCTTCACCAACTCACACCCTCCTGAATGGTTACCTATGATCAAAAACAACGCCCACGACCCGCACGGCGTAGGTAGTAGGCCCTCATCCAGCAATGGATTCACAAACGAGCTTTGCATGGACCTTTTAGATCAGTTTGTCGTGTAGCTAACTCGTTTTAACATGGCGAGACAAATGTCAACTTACTTGATTGGCATCAGCGAGATTCAACTATAGTTTGGTAGCAGGCACCGATAAACACCATGGGTCTCATTCCCATCTTCACGAATATTTGCTGTACTCCCCAGGTTAAACCCACACAAATCAAAAAAATCCAAACGTGTATATGTATTCATTCGGAATTGCAATTTGTTCAAAAGGTCAAACTAATGGAAATAAGTAGTGCATAACCCAGCCAGTTTGGTTGCCGGCCGGCAGAAAACATCGATGGAGAGATTTCTGAATCAGCCGTGGGCTCTCTCCCTCACCATCAGCAAGCTCCATTTGTGAAGTTTTGTTACAACATCCCCCACAATTAACATGGCGTTTAATCAGCAGCGGATTGACATAGGTGCTCGCATTTTAATTTTTTGCGAAGTGGTGGAGACAGCATCAATACAAGTTAAAACAGTCACACATTGAGCGGGTTTTTGGCGTGACAAACTTTGGAACATTTGCTCCAGCACAACCCTCTCTTGATTTGACCGTGGGACAGCGTATAACTTATAAACAAGTTTGATTTATTTTTTTCCACACGAGTTGGCACGTGACAATTGGAGAAATATATTTACACACAGCAGTTTAACCGAGGGAATGTCCTATAAAGGTTCAAAATGAAATTCGCCCAAGCTGATCTGCTGCCAAAATGTGTTTCAGCGACTTTAATATTATTAAGTATAAAAAAACGAAGCCATAGATGGTCCTTGGGCTCGCAAGGCCATATGTAGCAATAAAACCATTTTCTCAGGGGGATAAAGGGGTGCAAACAGATTAAGTGAAGGATTCGATTTAAATCCTCTAAATTCACATCTCCATTAATCACCATACAGTGAAGGCTCCTCTTTATCCATGACTCTGTTTGTTGCCTACGACTATTATCCGCAGCCCCAATACGATCGGGGAAATCTCCCGCTGTTCGTAAGTTTATTTATCCTGTTCACCATGAAATGTTTTATGCGCATTACATTCTTCATATGATCTGCATGGTTCACAAATAAGCGTTTGATTCATTTAGGAGAATTCCAATACGGTACGGTGACACAAAAAAAGAAAAAATCGTGGATACTTTCAAATTAAAGTTATTTACAAGCAAGACACAAAACACCGATATTAAAGTCAGTATATATAATCTTGAGTTGAAGCTTTCGTGAATGCAGCCAATATTACAGTATTTTTCAATCATAATATACTAAATACCAGTCTAACACATCGGCTTTCGCCACCAATATCATCCATAATATAGTTTTGTTTTTGTTAGATCGCGGTCTAACCTCAACCCCTCCTCGACGACATTATGGACAGTAAGTGCCATTTATTTGTTTTGAATACATCTAATTTCAATAAAGTTTAACGTTTTTGTGTTGAGTCCATTGACTTGGTACGAGTACGTTGTGTTGTTGATGTTTGTATTTTAAACTTATTCGCTTTCAACTGTTTATTTAGTAATATAAAAAATTATTTTGGCCCATATTCTGCTTGTTTTCAATCCCAAATCCCTGTTTGATTCGTGTTTCAATTTCTCTGGTCATGTCTCCTGCTTTTAAATAATTCTGGCATGTTTTGACTCCTGTTTCTATGGTTTCTCACCCCCACAATCTCCTTTCCTTGGGTTTTAAAATTACGTGTTTGTGTTTTTTTGTCTCTATCCTATTCATTTTATTACCCGCGAGCATGGATAACTTTTAGTGCTCGCCACAACCACCTCTGGATAACTCATCTTCATCTCTAAATCGGCTCAAACCTTCTGTAAACCAATCCCCCTAATCCCTCTCCTCTCCCCACCCACTGTTAAAACACACTCTGCTACGTGCAGCCTAGAGGCACTTACATTTTCTATCTTCCTGACCATTTGCTCCCCTTTCTGTTCCTTTACCATAATTTTCCTCTTCTTGGTTCTTTCGGTAAAGTCACGTAGAAGGGAAATAATAAAATAATAAAAATAAAACATAATAAAATACAATTCTCACGACGTTTCGGCCACAACGCAAGCAGCCGTCCTCAGGTGAAGAACAGGTCTGTCGGAAAGACAGCGTCTGAATGAGACAGCACCTCATTGTCGCTTTCTGATGCTGTGAGGCTGATGCCTTTATTAGATGTATGTTAGATTCCTCTTAATGCCTTGCCTGCTGGCATTTCTAAAAGCTTTTCCACCTGATGACGGACGCTTGTGTTGTCCCCGAAACGTCGTGATTCATTTTATTTTATACCCACGTGACTTTACCGAAAGAACCAAGAAGATGAATCCCTGCAGTCACGAAAGTTTTAAATCAAAACATAATTTTCCTCTTAATTCCCATTTTTTTTTCTCTTCTCTTCCATTTTTGTTGCCATACATCATATCCTTCACTCTACTCCCCTTCCCGTGGTGTGTCACAGGTAAAACGTTGCTTGTGATGAACCAAATAAACACGAATAGGAAGTGCTGGTACGGAGATGCAGAAGTTAGTGCACTGCCTATAAGCTTTATTCCTGGCCACGGCTAGCATCAGCGGCGAGCGATATCCATACGGTTCAGGGGCCACCTTTCGCCACCCACACTGAGTAGCATTGGTGAAGTATGGTCAATAAACCCCCATGACTAACTTGGATTAACAAGCAATGGATTACCAGAGGGAAGATTATTATGAATTATGATCAACCTCCTGGATTAATAACCCTTATATCTATCGTGTTTGAGGCTGTGTGCAACACGATCCACAGATAACAGAGTAGCGGATAAGAGTTTCACCGAATGTGAAATGAAATGCACCATGCAGGATTATCCTCGTAGCAAAAGTAGCTGCATATGCTACGCGCCCCGCACTTTCAAGGGACCCGCGCTAAATGCTTACAAGCTATCAATTCCGGTTCAGTGATTCTGCACTACTTGCTCTATTACTATAGTACTATATCGCCTTCAACTTTTATGAACGACCGGGTGTTTAATGTTAGAGATTTGTCATCACGGTCCTCGACTTACGACTCAAGTTCGTAAGTCGGGGACCATCCAGCTCCGCCGCGGCTCAACCAGGAAGCAGCCGCAGCCCGACACCGAACGACGCTGAATTTGGCGTATTCGCCGAATAGCGAGATTCTGATTCCAGACGGCTTCACATTATATTTTCATTAAAAAAAGTGATATCCTTGGAACGGGACACCACACCCCCCCCTTCTGCCCCCCAACCTCATCATCACCCCCCACTGCACGGATAATTATAACGATGCGAACTTCTGCCTGCGATGGGCGAATCAGCGCGCCTGGCGAATGAGCCGCCACGTTTTGCGTCGGCGGCGCGTTCCACGGAGCGCCGATCGTCAATTTCCGTCGTTTTCGGGTCGATTTTGGTCGTTTTCGGCCGTTTTTGGTCGTTTTCGGCCGTTTTTGGTCGTTTTCGGCCGTTTTTGGTCGTTTTCGGCCGTTTTTGGGCCGATTTTGGTCGTTTTCGGCCGATTTTGGTCGTTTTCGGTCGTTTTTGGCCGATTTTGGTCGTTTTCGGCCGTTTTCGGCCGTTTTTGGTCGTTTTTGGGCCGTCGTCGTCTTCGTTGTTTTTAGGCGTCTGAACACTTCAAAAGGCGCTCGTTTGGCTGCTCTCGATCGCCTTTGCAGGTACACTGCTGTGCTGGCAACGTACAGAGATCCCCCCTACGTGTAGCAAGCCGTCGTGGCAAGCGCTGTGAGCGAGGAAACAATCTACAATGGTGGCCCACACACCGCGCCACGAGGGAGACAAAGGCGGGTGTGTGTGTTGGTCACACACACCCGCTCGTGTGCCGTGCAGTGCCGACCTTCATAGGCTCCCGCCACGCGCTAATAGCACTTGCCACAGCATACTCTTAATAGGTTTTTTCGGTAAAGTCACGTAGGTAAAAATGTAATGGAAATGATAGAGATAATAGAAATAATAATATAACACGTTCCTTTCTGAGTGGGCAGGTACTACCTTACTCTTAGGTTTTTTCGGTAAAGTCACGTTGGTAAAAATTAAAAACGTCGTGATTTTTATTTTATTTTACATTTATTAATTTAATTTTTTTACCTACGTGAATTGACCGAAAAAACCTAAGAGTATGGATCCTTGCAGTCACGAAAGCTTCAAATCTAGAATTAGGTACCACCCGCCACCCCGCCGCCCCCCCGCCGCCCCCGCAGCCCCCGCCGCCCCCCACCGCCCCGCCCCCCCCGCCGCCCCCGCAGCCCCCCCCGCAGCCGCCACCCCCCCGCCCCGCCCCCCCCCGCCGCCCGCCCCGCCGCCCCCCACCGCCGCCCCCCCCCCGCCCCCCCCCGCCCCCCCACCGCCGCCCCCCACCGCCGCTCCCGCAGCCCCCCCCCACTCCCCCCGCCACCCCCCTCCCCACCTTACTTGCCAAAGCCTAAAGACAAGCTCGGAGGTGAATTGAAACAATTACGGGATCTAGCAGCAGGAGGAAGCAATCTGTCGTGGCGTCAGAGCCGGCCCAGCCACGAAGCGACCCTTGCAATTGCAAAGGGCCCCGTGGCCAGCAGAGGGCCCCCTAGAGTCACTGCTAGCTAGTGGGTGAAAAAAATCATACATCAAAGGAGCCTCCAACCAAATTTTGCTTAGGGCCCCCAAAGGTCTAGGGCCGGTTCTGCGTGGCCTTAACAACGATTTCCATGATGACCTCTTTATTTTACTTGAGGTATGTTCATTAATGAACTATAGCTACACTACGTACGAGCCCATATGTAATAGAACATTATATTCAGCATCTTCCTTTCCCCAAATGCTTGGCCAGTAAATCACGATCTGTATTTCCCATTGCAAGTCACTTTCATTCAGGTGCCTTGGAATGTTTTTTCACGAACTCTCCTATTTATCTCCCACACCGAACCCCAAGAACTCGGAGCCGCTACATGCATCGGAGAGCAGCCCGGACTGGAGGAGGAGTTGGTGGGCACATGGACACAGAGCCACGGCCATGGCATCAGACACCACGAAAGCCCTGCAGGGAGCCTCAATCCTTGCCACCTACAATGTCCTCTTACAGGTGCGGGTGGCACGCTGGCGTTGCGGTTATTAACGGATGTGTTTGCGTTTGTTGTTGGCTGTGCGTCCCAAATGTGCTGTACACAGAACGTGGATTTTTGTTCCTCCATCTTAAATTCATCCACGGACGGTGCTGCAGTTCTTGCTTTGACGCCATACAGAAGTGATGATTGTATTTTATTATGTTTTATTTATTATTTTATTATTCCCTTCTACGTGACTTTACCGAAAGAACCAAGAAGATGAATCCCTGCAGTCACGAAAGCTTTAAATCGAAAAATAGAAGTGATGTTGTAGAGCAGTGGGGGAATATATATGGCCAGCGCACAGATACGACCTGCGTGAACGTATCGAATGGCCATACGAGGCTTATCACTTAGAAACGGCCCAACAATCATAGTCGATACTTCTAGCATCGGCTGGACTAATCAGTTGCTAGAGATGAGTATTTCACACATCGGAGTTTCACATTTTTTTATCATGTCAATGCAAGGGCCTCTTGAATATCAGTCGACACATGCGTTATATTTGTCATTATTGGATAACATGTGGCCTGTAAATATTTTGGGCCATCAGTATGGACCAGGTTCCCGACCACTGTTCTAGAGAATGTTAGTAGACAGGCCTCTGCCTCACATTGTTCACGCTTCTAGGCTAGATTCCCATTTTGACGAAGCAGCTGAAAAGCCGCTTTGTTGATAGGCATGCAACGATGCATTGATTAATCGATCAAAACCTATTTTATGCTCGCGATACATGCATAAAATCTTGCATGTAGATTTGTTCTATTTGTGCAAATTTTATCATTTCACACGAACATGTGGCGATGGTTGAACAAAGTAATGCAGCGTTGTCCCCTTGAGCTGCCATGCCCCCTGGTGTTGATCTGCAGAAATTTCAGCTACGACGCGATCAAGTCTCGTCAGTACTTGGGTGGGTGACTATTACCGCAAGAAACACCAGTTCATTGTAACAGAGTGATACCATCCACTTGCAAGAAAGTATTTTTTTTTATCTCAGAGCTTACTGATTTCACTATACAGTACACTCGTTCAATGTGTTAGATTACTAAACGGTGTGGCTGGTTGTCTTGAAGACCTGTTATTCTGGGTTCATGTGTGCCACTGCATATGTGCTGTGCTCTGTACAATTCTGGTTCTTATTTCTGTTGGCCCTTCAGGGTTCACTGTTATACTTGTGCAGAGGTGCGATGTCCGGTAATAAATAGTGAAGATCATAATTGTGGACGCTTTCGCTTGCTAGGTTCAGCAGTACTTGCTGTCTTTTCCGAATGCAGCTGGATAAATGAATTCCCTGTGAACATTAAATAGCTCGTGATACTCTTCAAAGATGACAGTCGCATCAAAAACCAGCATTATCATTTTTCTAAAAATGTATTTTGTTTCCCTAACGGGTCCGAGTAAAGTTTCTTTTCTTAACCAGGTGAGAACTCAAGAGACCATGATAGTCTCATTTGCATGAGTGAGCTTGTTCGCCAAAGTAACAAAACCAAACAAATTTAAAAAGTACAGGCATTAAGCAAATGGAGAATTTGGCTGCTATACGTTTCCATGTGATAAGCCACTTCGTTGAGCTATAATTTGTGGCCAGGTCACTTTCTAAAAAGTGCTATCTAACTCAGTGGGCCTTACCTGGTAAAATAAAAATAGTTAATCGTTTATTATTTTGGAAAATTGTAATATTATTGCACAGACATGAATAATGATTAAATAGTACAGATGCTTTTTAGACTAATCGTCATACAATTTAAATGAAGTTACAAAAACATTAAGGTATAGAGGGTGCATATTGTACTTATATATAAACAGACAAGGATATATATGGAGAATTCAAGTGAAAGTATAGCAAATCCACAGTTTAAGCATGACATTGTCATTTAGATGGAAGAGTAATTTGAAAGATTAAACATTGGTTGTTACTCGTGTCTCAGTGGTATGCATCTTAGTCGACCCAACTTGGATCCTATGTGACTGGAAATACAAAACAAACATTACACATGTTTCCATTGTGATGTGCACACGGTGTCATTGTATTAATGGTCATTGCATAGTTATTGTCAGCCATGTTTTAGAGGTAGTAATTTGAAAGGTGGCTAATTTTATATTTTCTAATACATGAGTATCTAGTTCAGTGAGACTACACAAGTCTCATTCTATTCTGTGATTGAGGGAATAGACAAAAAATGCTAAATGTATGTGTGCACAGTGCGGTGCTTTATACAAACACCCTGTTCGCAGCAGACACCGTGAGTGAAATGATGCAACATTAATTGAGCAAAACCTGCCAGTGATTCAGTTTGGAGTTATAATTTGTCCTCGAAGTCACTTCTAGTCAATTGCAAGCTCATTGTTAGCCAGTCAGGAAGCGAGTAAGCAGGCCTGGTGCTGTCTGAGATCGTGGCTGCTGTTCTTTTGGCAGAAGTTTGAGCAAGCTCAGACTTTGCTTTATCTGTAGATTTATCAGTGCGTCACATTGTGTTATGGGAGGTGAATTGGCAGCTATTGGAGCCACGTGCTCTTGCCTAAAGGGCAAACAAGTCGAGGCATGATTCTGCTCCACGTTAGCGGTGGCTGCTCGCATTTACAAAAGCGTTCAAACAGGAAACGTCACGCACCGTGACGGGAACAGTTGTTGTGCCCCTTTCCCAGTTGGCTCTTTCACGATACCTAAATCATGATGCAAAGTGCTAATTTATCACCGCCAATCTCAACTAATTTGGAAATATCTACAGGGTACGAGCAGTGCCGCCTTTGAATGCGCAACATGTACGTAGGACCCCCATTTCATGAAGAGGAACCCCAATATTTTCTGTCTATATTGGTCTCTATCTCGCTCTCATCTTCATCTCGTGTCTCTGTTTCACTTTGTCACTCTCTGTGTCTGTGCTTCTTTCTTTGTCTCTGTTCGTGTTTATGTCTGCGTGTTTCTCTCTCTGTCACTTTCTGTCTCTCTGCTTTTTTCTTTGTCTCTGTCTCTGTTCGTGTTTATGTCGGCGTGTCTCTCTCTGTCACTCTCTGTCTCTTTGTTTCTTTCTTTGTCTCTGTTCGTGTTTATGTCTGCGTGTTTCTCTCTCTGTCTCTCTCTGTCACTCTCTGTCTCTCTGCTTCTTTTTTTGTCTGTCTCTGTTCGTGTTTATGTCTGCGTGTTTCTCTCTCTGTCACTCTCTGTTTCTCTGCTTCTTTCTTTGTCTCTGTTCGTGTTTAGGTCGACGTGTCTCTCTGTCTGTCTGTCTTTTGGACGATCTGCACAGTTCTGAGTAATGACTGCTTCTTGCTCTACGTTGAGGGACTGTTATTCCTTTGTTCACACTGGCACGTTTATGGGTAAGATAACTGTGATTTTATTAAGGAATGATTGCACACATGGAAATTATAATTCCATTGTGTGCTGTTAAAAGTAAAACAAATATCCTGTGGTTTAACTATTAAAGAATACATCTAATGACTTATATCACTCACGGTGGGGTGGTGTTGTACTCGTATGAGTGTTAAAACTATTGACATAGGTATTTGGAGAGTGCCTATTTTATTCAGATCACTGAGTAACCTTTGCTGTCGTTCAGAGTTCTAATCTGGATTTCAACCGCCTGTGGTTAAACCAGGCTCTGAAGTATAGCGAGTTTGATAGTTTCAGCCTCGTCGCCAATGCTCGCATTGGTTACCAGGTTGAGACTAAATTGGAATAACTTCCAGCTTTGAGAAATAAAAATACCATACCTGTTTGACTATTATTCAACAAACACCAATCTCATAGCAGTAGTGTGTATAGATCAAACGGCTGCTTGGATGGTTTTTCAGACTTTCTCGTGGTTGCACTGCTCAGTGGTAATTCTGAACGGATTCTTTATCTTCTGACAATGCCGAGCATCGCATTCGGAACAATAAGCGAAACGATATCAAAATAACAAAAAAACCATGGCGTATTGCGATGGCTGAATGGTTTAGGTGCCCGATGCGCTTGCTACTGTACTGAGTGACCACTGCAGGTAAAAAGATTCCGATTAAAATAACGTTTGATGGTACCTGGCTCTTATTGTGGTCATCGGCAGTTGCTCAAAAACCCCAGAGCAAAACCCCATCAGGAAAGTATTTTGTTGGAAATCTGGTCCAAAATCAATTTAATTCAGGGAACATGGTAAGCTGTGGTGTATGTTTCTGGTCAATTAGTTTAGGGGTTTTGTAGAAATTATAACACCTGTGAAGTATCCTCAGATGAATGAATAACATTTCCCAGGCATGGCATTAAGTATCATCTTGGTTCCTTAATTTTTTTTACAGATGGTTGGGTGGTAGCAGACATTACTGTTTGTTGCAAAGAAAGTGGGAATGTTCTGCCCTCTACTATTGTGGAGCGGAGTTTCACTTGAAGGGATTTCAGAGGTAGTTCTGTGGTGTCTGCTTCGTGAGCAGTTCCCTAACACAAAGGGTCGCTCTCCTCTGCAACGGATATACAAATGACTTCTTCTCATCACGTGACACATGTAGAACATTTATGATAAAATTGGGAAATAGGACAAAAAATAATAAAGTAGTATGTTGAAAGTCTCAACGAGGCTTGTGCGTGTGTGTCTTTGTCTATGCAGAGGCGCTCACTCACGGCACTTGCCCCAGCAGTCTGTTAAAGGCTATTCGGGGGACCTTTGTCTTTTGCAGGTGTCCTTCCGTGTCATCACATTCGTGCTTAACGCTTTCATCCTGCGACACCTCTCCAAGGAGGTGCTGGGGGTCGTCAATGTCAGGTGACCTTGCTCACTTGCCCACTTGCTCATCCTGGCTTTGCAGCGATCTACCACGATGCTTTATTGGGTTTCGCACACACGCTGCTGCTTGGTCAGAGTGCGAATATGTGTGCGCCGAAGAGGTGGCTACTTACTACCAAAGTGGCCTGCTTGGCAGGTGATCGGCTGACAATTCAGAGGTCGGTTTGAATTGGTCATGGTGGCTGCTCAGAATAACTTAGCGCAGTGGTTATTGTGTTTGGCTGATGTGTGTCTGAGCCCTGGCTGAAACTGGAGTACCATTGGTTTCAACACTTGCTTTTACACCCCTTTTAACAGAGTCAACAAGCGGGGGCTTTTTAACGGCACGTGATTTCTTTTCTGAGAAGCCACGCGCTGAGAATAATCAAAAGATTTATGGCACAGATGGTTTTGTTCAATCCATTCACGTAAACATATTTGAGCCACGTCAACATGTGTGCTGTGTCAGCGTGCCTTGCTGCATATTTAACTTCAGTCCTTAAACTTGCACAGTGGCAGTCTGCTGAAATCATACTATATTAGAAAAAAAAGTTGGCTGGCTGGATTTCTGCCTGGATTCCTGGCTGGCCCGTAGCCAAGTGCTCGCTGTGAGCTGAGGGAGAGATATAGAGGAGGGAGGTGAGGGAGGGAGATAGAGGAGGCACACATAGGAACGAGTATGAGACGGAGAGGAATGTTGAGGAGAGACGGGGGGGGGGGAGAGAATGAAAGGGCGTGAAATGGAGAGGAAAGGGAGAGCAAAACAGAAATAGGCGAGCGAGGGAAAGCGACAAACAGTCGGAGGAAGGGTTATGGAGAGGCAAGAAAGATTGAGATTGGAAATGTAGAAGTGGGAATAAGGAGATCAAGGGTGAGAGAGAGAAACAGGTTGAGAGATGGGGGGGGGGGGAAGTGTGTGAGATACGGTGGAGGGAGGAGAAATATTAGAGGGTAGGAGAGGTAGAAAAGGAGACAGAGAAATAGAGACAAGTAGAAACAGATGAGAGAGAAATCGAGATACATTGGAATATACTGTAGAGAGAAGGCAAGAGAAAGGTAGAGAGATACAGGGCTCTATATAAGATAACAACGTTTTGCTAGCTGGCTTTCTTGCTGTGAGGGACAGACAGATGGTAATGTCCAAAGGACGTTGCTGGGATATTTAACTAAAATGTTTCGCGATGGTGAAATGGTGCCTGGACGTATGGCCTGCCTCATTCGATGGTCGCCACCCTGCGAACACAGAACCCATGGATAATTCAATGCTTTTGATTGACTCGTGGGGTGTTGGTCTATTCTGCTGGATGGTAAGATCCAACCGTTCATGAAAAATTAACCAAAAAACTTCAAACTTGAAAATATTTTCAGGAGGTTTCTCCATTTGGGATATTCTTGAAAAATAATTAAATCATAATAAACCTATGCTGTTAAATAAAATTCACAGTTATTTGTCAATCTACCACTGGATGAGAGCCTCCCATATATGTCGCAGGGGTTGTTCGATCATACTTCACTATACTAGTCACAGCAGCTCGGTGTAGAGGGGGCCCAAGACCTATTCAGCTATCTCCACCCATGTTAGTTGTGATCGGGAATCGAAAACAAGTTGCCAGGTTCACAGCGCAGTGTCCTAATAATTGTGCCATTGCTCCATCCATGCTGTAAATTATTCACTTAAACATATTCGCCAATATAAAATATTTCATCCACTTTTGCCTAAATATGTACGGTATGTATGTTGAACTTCGCACCGTATGTAGCCAAACGTGCTAATCGCAGGTGCGGTTTATGATCTTGAGTCATCGATGCAAGAAGTATCTCATTGCCGTTCAAGACAAGCGGATGTGTTGATCGCTAGGCAAAGCAGCAGGTCGTCAATCTCAAATCGACTTTCGCCCTTCTTTAGCGAGAACCATAGCGATGGACTTGCGCCCGCGTGTGTTGCTCCTGCGGTTGCCTACGCAGGCTCACCCTGCTCTACTCCACCACCGTGTTCCTGGCGAGGGAGGCGTTCCGGCGTGCCTGCCTGAGCCGGGCATCTACCGCCGACTGGCGTCGCGTCATCAACCTCCTGTGGATGACGTGAGTTCCCTTTTCCACGACACCGTGGCTCCCATTCCGCACACACCCCTCTTCCACTGGCACATCAAAGCCAGTGTGGTGCTTTCACTGTACGGGTTGATTTAAAGTCGCCATTTGTCGTGCTATGCCAGAAGCAAAGCATGATACGCCGGCCTCACAAGACATTTGAATCCAAGCAGGGCCAGGAACGTGGCTAGGCAGCGTCACTGCATCATCTGCGCACGTCTCGACTCGTTAATTGAGTGTGATGTCACCGGCATGGCTTGGCTTCTGTAATGAAAAAGAAACCTGTGGCCTATTGAGCCACACTGGGCTGGCTGGGCACGGCTCTCGATTAGAAGAATCTTGGTTTTCTTTGCCGTGCCACAGCCTTCTTTAATTCCAAATAATTGTTGCTACTAATGTACAAAGCACATGTTGGAATCAGTTTAACACGTAGGCTTTCGCGACCAATATTATTCATAATCAACGTTTTTGGGTTAGATCGCGTTATTTATAAATGTGTCGTAACCCTCTACCACCCGACACGGCCAATCAGCAAAAAAGTGTCACGTTGACAAAAGACAAATAGTTCACTGCTTTAGCCCACCGGTGTGTTGAAGCGTGAAACCACAACATTTACAATTGAAGCGTGAAACCACAACATTTACAATTTTCAACTCAAAAATTGTAAATGTTGTGGTTTCACGCTTCAACACACCGGTGGGCTAAAGCAGTGAACTATTTGTCTTTTGTTAACATGACACTTTTTTGCTGATTGGCCGTGTCGGGTGGTGGAGGGTTACGACACATTTATAAATAACGCGATCTAAACCCAAAAACGTTGATTATGCACATGTTGGAATACTGATGCCATGTCTGCGGTGAAGCAGTTTTTACCTACCTCACTGTTTTTATAATTCAATATAAAGCAGTCTGGCTGATTGATGATCCAGCACTCACCGATTCTCTACAGCCACCGTCTGACCGGTGGTCAGTCACATCCTTATTAATAAAATAACTGCCATGGTTACTTCCTGTGAATGTCACTCATTGATTCTTCCACCCTGTGGGTCATAACAACATATTTACCAACACACCCACCCACCTACCTGTTCACTCACCCAAGCGCTAAAACTGACTGTTTAATCTCATCCATACTGTGTTCATTCAGCACACTGCAGGTCACAACACTTTTTCTGCTTCTTCACACTTGGGACATTTCCTCCCATGGTCTTTTTCACCCAAGTTCTTCTAATAACTTTTCTCAATTCAAAGAACATGCTCTGCTCTTATCCATTACATCGCCGACGGATGCACCACACGTGTGTGTGTGTGTGTGATCGTCGTCGCTTGCGTGCTGACTAACCGCATGGAGGGTTCCCCGTCCGGTGTGGTCAGGGTGCCGCTGGGGGCGGTATGCGCCGGAGCGCTGGGCTACGTGTGGACCAGATGGCTGGAGGCCCCGGACGCGGAGCACGTGCCCGCCTACCCGGCCGCCGTGTGGGTGTTTGCGGTCTCGGCCGTTGTGGAGCTACTGTCAGAGCCGTTCTGGGTGCTCGCCCAGGCGCACATGTTCGTGCGACTACGGGTAAGTGCCTAGCCACTCCGACCCAGGCACACACACTCGTGCAACTGCGGGTTGGTGCCTCGCCACTCCGACCCAGACACACACACTCGTGCGACTGCGGGTCAGTGTCTAGCCACTCCGACCCAGACACACAAACTCGTGCAACTACGGGTCGGTGCCTAGCCACTCCGACCCAGACACACACACTCGTGCAACTGCGGGTCGGTGCCTAGCCACTCCGACCCAGACACACACACTCGTGCGACTGCGGGTCAGTGCCTAGCCACTCCGACCCAGACACACACACTGTGACTGCGGGTCAGTGCCTAGCCACTCCGACCCAGACACACACACTCGTGCAACTGCGGGTCGGTGCCTAGCCACTCCAACCCAGACACACATGCTCGTGCGACTACGGGTCAGTGCCTAGCCACTCCGACCCAGACACACACGCTCGTGCGACTGCGGGTCAGTGCCTAGCCACTCCAACCCAGACACACATACTCGTGCGACTGCGGGTCAGTGCCTAGCCACTCCGACCCAGACACACACGCTCGTGCGCCTGCGGGTCGGTGCCTAGCCACTCCGACCCAGACACACACACTCGTGCGACTACGGGTCAATACCTAGTCACTCCGACCCAGACACACACGCTCGTGCGACTACGGGTCAATGCCTAGTCACTCCGACCCAGGCACACACTCGTGTGACTGCGGGTCAGTGCCTAGCCACTCCGACTCAGACACACGTGCTCGTGCGACTGCGGGTTGGTGCCTAGCCACTCCGACCACACACGCTCGTGCGACTACGGGCCGGTGCCTAGCCACTCCGACCCAGACACACACACTCGTGCGACTGCGGCTCAGTGCCTAGCCACTCCGACCCAGACACACACACTCGTGCGACTGCAGGTCAGTGCCTCGCCACTTCGACCCAGGCACACACACTCGTGCGACGGCGGGTTGGTGCCTAGCCACTCCGACCCAGACACACACACTCGTGCAACTGCGGGTCAGTGCCTAGCCACTCCGACCCAGGCACACACACTCGTGCGACTACGGGTCAGTGCCTAGCCACTCCGACCCAGGCACACATACTCGTGCGACTGCGGGTCAGTGCCTAGCCACTCCGACCCAGACACACACACTCGTGCGACTGCAGGTCAGTGCCTAGCCACTCCGACCCAGGCACACACACTCGTGCGACTACGGGTCAGTGCCTAGCCACTCCGACCCAGGCACACACACTCGTGCGACTGCGGGTCAGTGCCTAGCCACTCCGACCCAGGCACACACACTCGTGCGACTGCAGGTCAGTGCCTAGCCACTTCGACCCAGGCACACACACTCGTGCGACTGCGGGTCAGTGCCTAGCCACTCCGACCCAGACACACACACTCGTGCGACTGCAGGTCAGTGCCTAGCCACTTCGACCCAGGCACACACACTCGTGCGACTGCGGGTCAGTGCCTAGCCACTTCGACCCAGGCACACACACACTCGTGCGACTGCGGGTCAGTACCTAGCCACTCCGACCCAGACACACACACTCGTGCAACTACGGGTCAGTGCCTAGCCACTCCGACCCAGACACACGCACTCGTGCGACTGCGGGTTGGTGCCTAGCCACTCCGACCCAGACACACACACTCGTGCAACTGCGGGTTGGTGCCTAGCCACTCGGACCCAGACACACACACTCGTGCGCCTGCGGGTCGGTGCCTAGCCACTCCGACCCAAACACACATGCTCGTGCGACTACGGGTCAGTGCCTAGCCACTCCGACCCAGACACACACGCTCGTGCGACTGCGGGTCAGTGCCTAGCCACTCCGACCCAGACACACACACTCGTGCGACTGCGGGTCAGTGCCTCGCCACTCCGACCCAGACACACACACTCGTGTGACTGCGGGTCAGTGCCTCGCCACTCCGACCCAGACACACACACTCGTGCGACTGCGGGTCAGTGCCTAGCCACTCCGACCCAGACACACACACTCGTGTGACTGCGGGTCAGTGCCTAGCCACTCCGACCCAGACACACGCACTCGTGCGACTGCGGGTTGGTGCCTAGCCACTCCGACCCAGACACACGCACTCGTGCGACTGCGGGTTGGTGCCTAGCCACTCCGACCCAGACACACACACTCGTGCGACTGCGGGTCAGTGCCTCGCCACTCCGACCCAGACACACACGCTCGTGCAACTACGGGTTGGTGCTTAGCTGCTCCGAGCCAGGGTCGGGAGCGGATTTGTTCCTTGATGCCTGCACTTCGAGGAGAGGTTATCAGTGAAAGTAGCACGTTGGCGGAACAGTTCTCATCTTCGTAGTTTGTTACAGCGCTCTCAAGATTCCCTGAAACACCATTGCCACGATACAATTGAGATGTGTATGGAAAAACCTGCCAACCTTCTTAATTGACAAACCTGCAAAGTCCCCTGTTTTAAGAAATACCAAAAGCCCAGCATGTAAAATGCCCTAATACATTTTTACATACAAAGCAATCCAAGCCCTTTATGTATGTATGTTGAACTGCTTTCGCACCGTACGTAGCCAACCATGCTAATCGGATGTGCGGGGGACGGATAAAAAACCTAACAAGAGAACCTTTTTGTTCTTTTTTTTTAACAGAGTCAACAAAGCTCCTTATTTGCAGAAGCCCCCAGACTTCTTACTTTAAAGAATCCCTCCCAAGTCGCAAATGGGCCTTGACCTGAAACGCCTTCCCCTCTCCCCATACCTTGTGAGTCACAGGTGTCTGCGGAGAGCCTGGCGTTGGGCAGCAGGAGCATCCTCACCGTGGCGTTGGTGTTCCTCAGGCCGGACTGGGGCCTCTGGGTTTTTGCTTTTTCACAGGTGCCCACATCAGACAAAATACAGGACACCTTGACAACGCTGGGAAATTCAGCATGATACGATAAGGCCACTTTAAAGGTATTAGAGATGCACCATAAGGAGCGTGGCTGGCCTGAATCGTGATGCTAATGTTAAACAGCCCTTATGAGAGTCACGGGGCCAGCACCACTGACATTCTGAATTTGATTGAAGATTGTCAAGTTTATTCTTGTAGATTAGTTCCTTAATTGCTATTAATATTATGCTTGTTTACCTTAGAAAGCCTCACCGAGTCTCGTGACTCTTTCAGAGGGCTCCTTCCAGGTTCATCTTCTTGGTTCTTTCGGTAAAGTCACGTAGAAGGGAAGTAATAAAATAATAAAAATGAAACATAATAAAATAATTCTCACGACGTTTCGGCCACAACGCAAGCAGCCGTCCTCAGGTGAAGACCAGGTCTGTCGGGGAACAGCGTCTGAATGAAACACCACCATGCTTGGAGTGTATATTTAAGCTGGGTTGGAAGGGGGAAAGGGCGCCCTGACAAAAGAATTCTAGGTTTTTGGAGCCGGGGGCGATGATTGCCATGTATGATCCCAATTAAGTTATTTCTGGGAAAGTTTTCAAATTTGACAAATTTTGACACCGGCACACATTGGCCTACGTCAAGGGATCTTTAACATCCGCAGTGCAG